CATGTCACCAAACGCTGATTTGACCGTGCGATTCTTACCAACAGAAAAATACATCACGAAATATTGACAACAGCTGTTGACTTACCCTTCTTCGAAATTAACCGGAATCATAACTGCCAAGTCTCGATGCCTACGGTCGTCTGTCTCGTGTGATTAGTTGTCACAAGTTTTCATATCTCCTTTTTAGGTAATCGCCGTAGTTGTGCCAAGGTTTTTCAATGAACGCCCGCAGGTCCTTGGGTCCCAAACCGTCACTACTAAAGTCCATCGGTCATTCATCTTTCTTGCGACGTTGTCTGCTTGAGGACTGGGAGCGATTTTTTTGTGCCTTCAATTCGATCTTGGAAAACGGTTTTAGCTACTCCCAAGTCTTGTCAGACGTCTTGAAAAGAACGTCCGTTTTCCCTTCAATTCCGGCCAAATTGGGTTCCAATTGCGGCTTTCTGTTGTTTGGTAAGGTTCGGAGCCGAGTGCGACGTGGCCGACATGCGTGTCAATGTGTCTAGATCCAAAAGCCTACTGCTTTGTCGTTCTGTCCGTATCACTCTGCAATTAAACTAGGTTAAAGCAGTGCAGTAGACTGAGAAATCAACGTGCCTCAGGGCTGTGCTCAACGGTGATAACAAACGGAAAGGGGGGACCGATCAGCGAATTGTAGTGGCCGCGTTCTGCGTCAACCAGCGATAACTGTTGTTACAAAAGCAGAGCTAGGTACAAGGATTAAACTGCTTGGATTTTCATCGCTACGCTCTCGTATGGTTATGAGTTGTGGGCAATGACAGAAAAACATGGCGAGACGGCATTTCTTTCTCCATGTTTCGTTGAGCTAGGAAGCCTCACCAAATTTTAGCTCGATAGATGGCCACCGTAGGATGGCCAGTTATGCAATGGTTGCACGGTACCTGTAATCGAAAAAATAAAATGATCTTCAGCACGAATTTACACACTGTGAAAGGTTTGAGTGGTTATCCCTCTATAATGCTAATTAACGACTTGAAAAATTTTTCGTCTAGAAATTGTTAGTTTTTCATAGGAGAGTTTAGATTGCAACGCACTGATATTGCTCAATTAAAATGCTTTGCGATTCATGTCTGAAGGCGCCAAACAGCGCAGACGTTAATAACTGGTTACCGATGCGTTTCGTTGCACACACCGTAATACCGTGTAGATGCAACTTATTGTCAGGTAGTAAACCGTCTTATGCATACAATTACCTCGATTCAACAAGTAACAGATTGACGCAGGATAATGACTATTATGTTCATAACCTAAAATTTTAGTTTCATCATCGCTCATTTCATCGTTTCAATTTTTTATATCAGGTTGGTGGTAGAACCTTAGTTATTACTCGACTCCACAGAGGAGCAGATTGATTGCACTGTCGGTTTCATAAACAAACTATTTAGGGACTCTTTATCAAATCATCAAACTGTGACCGGTTTTTATCGATTACAGATATATTCGTATGGGTAAAGGAGCGTCCCTCAGAAAGAGCGTATTGCACAATATGGGAGTACTCGGCCTGCAGATAAGTGTTCTTCAGCCCGGTTACTGATATCCGAACATTATGTTTCTGCTAGGGCTTTCAGCGCATAACTGCTCACAGTCGACGCCGTGAACCACATTTGCTGCTTTCACGGCTTGCTCCAAGTATGCTTCTTAAACAGAAATATCTATATACTCCTTGTCGGCCTCTTTGCATCGAAGACGATTTCAGATGCTATTCAAGCATTCCACCCAGATCGAGTAAATGAATGTTCGCTTTTCATTCCTTTTTGATGTCACGTCAGTTCCAACAAGATCTTCACAGTGTGTTGTGATTACCACCATGGGATGTTTTCGGCAGTATGCGTCTCGGAAGGTGGCTTTCGTCCATTCGTTGACAATGGCCTGACCATCTTGAACGCTTTGTTTGTGGCCAGTCGGCGCTCAAGTTGGATATTTTGATCTCTCTCTTACAATGGTACCCGCTTTACATCAGGTCGTGCCGCCTTACTTTCGTTATTGATGTTAAAACATTCATTGTCATTGCTTCTAACTTTGTTCAGTGCTGCCCTCTGCAGGTCATAAGGCAAGTTGTTCAGCGTACAGGCCCTGTTTATCCGCAGTTTTGTGCCACTGTCAACGTCTTTGGTGTCCCAGAACTTGCATAACTTACTAATCGCTGAGGACGCCAACGCACATCGCCTCTTAACCTCGTTAATCATTCGTCCGTCAACAGTCAATGTAGAAAATCCCAAGATGCGGGCATTTTGGTACCATTTCCAAAACTTCGGTGTCAAGAGTTACACGGTCTCTAATTTGTGATCTACCAATTTCCAATAACTTATCGTTAATAAGTAACTCGAGATACCCAAACCAGAACATGTTTACTTCAGAGTTAGGATCAGTGACGTCACAAATTCGAAGTCGTTTGCATGCAGTGCGATATCATTCGCAAATGCAAGAGAGTATACGCAGATATTGCGAAATCTTGCCGTCGCAGCTTCACTTCTTCGCACTAGCTGAAGCACTCAGACAGAGATTTCCTAAATAGCAGCGGAGATTCGAATCCTCCGAACTTTGTATGAAACAGTTGGTCGAACCTGCAATAAATTCGCGCGGCACTTAACGAAAGACCCTGCGCCGTTTCAGTCATGTGAATTATCTTTGATGGGATTCCACGTCGCTATCAACTTTCCAGACGGATGCAAACGCTTTGGTGAAATCAGCGAAACATGCAAAGTATTCCGATCTCCATTCTCTTTTTTCATTACCTCTCTCATTGTGGATATCTGGTCGAAGCATCTTCTGCCTGTCCTGAATTCCAACTGCTTTTCACCCAGGATCTTCCAAAGATATTAACTGAACCTATTCACCCCATGACGCATAAGTGCTTTAGAATGAACGAATAAAACGACAGGTTCTGCGGCCGCTGTCATAATTCGAGAAACAGACATTCTTGAATACTGGGATCACAATATCTTCATTCAGCATTCGCAAACTACCCTTTCTGCCATGCTAATTCACAGAGATTCACTAATGACAGTGTTACATTATTTCCAGACTCCTCAATTTGCCCTGGTTGTACTCTATCAATTCCTGCAGCTCTGCCATTTTTTTGTTAGCTTCAAACTCCACTTCGTTCTTTAAGGGTCAACGACCCATTATCAGTATCCATCCGTTGCACAGATGCAATATCATAAAACGACAGGTTTGTAACGATTCAGTGCGTATTCACCATATTTCACCAATATTTGTAGGATTGAACGTGATTTCACTGTTCTCTTTCATGAGGTTATTAGTCACCTCTTCTATTTGTCGAGGTAGTAAAGAGCTTTCCAGAACAATTTTTCATATCTTTTTTCTGAGCTTCATCTTCCATTATTTAAGCGTGACTCTTCCAGAAAAGTTCTTATCTTTCCTCAGTGATTTTAAAATTTCTTTCCATACCTCCTTCTTGGAATTTGGTCTGCTATCAGTCTCGGCAGCCTGTTCTTTTCTTGCATCCGTTTTGTTTCTAAATTTGTCCAAGACATTATTTGGCTTTCCTGTCGTCCCAATTACTCCTCTACCATTATTTTTACTGCTTCTTTGTATATATTCCACAAGACTTCCACCCATCGTGACCTGATGTACATGAGACATTTCTGGACGTTCAAGTTTTTCGACCTCAAACGTTGCGGTAGACTTTTGATTGCTAGCAAAGGACAGGAGTTTGACTTCAAATTTAGCCATTACCAGGTCATAGTCGCTGCAGCGTTCAGCACTTTTGTACATACTGAAATCTTCTCAGCATGATCGATGACGTTTAGTGACAAAAACGTAAACAATCTGGTCTCTCAGTGATGCACCAGGAGAGTGCCATGAGATCTTATGCGCTGATTTGAAAAGATACCATGTGCCCTAAACAAGCAGGTCGTGCATTTCAAACAGTTCTACTGTCACTGACCGGTATTATTCATCTCCACAACATAGTATGATATCAGGTGTCGATACAACTCCTTTTTCCTTCCCGTTATAGCATTGAAATCACCCTGAATAATCAACATATCATGGGTTCGGCATCGCTGTAACAGCAGACTCATAAAAAAGTCTTATTTTGCAGCCTCTGCTGCAGCTTTGACGTGGACGTATCAACCAATTACTATCATGCCGAATCTTTTGTATGTAAAATCGAACCTTTCCCTAATGATTCGGTCAGATGCCACGCTTCACTGTTCAAGGGCTTCTTCTGCATTTCTACTGACTGCTAGTGCAAATAAAAGACGACCTCGGTGAGCGAAGTTGTCTTGCTGAGACATCTGTATTATAAATGGCAGAAATTACCATGGCTCTGTTCAGATGCAACTTCATAACGATGTAGCTAGGGCATAAAGTTCACGGTTCAGTGTCCTCCTTGAGCACCCATTCTTCAAGAATACTTGTTAATGGTGACTAAATAGTGATTTTGACATTTTTTTAGATGTTAGTGCATTGAAAACGTCCAAATTTAGATTGAGTTCAGTAAAGTGTAGACTTCAGTCAGTCAATCAGCCCGTCTCGACTACTATTTGCCTTTTAGTTCGCTAGAGTAGCAGCGTTAGACAATGTTTACAGTGTTCGCGAACTTATACATGTGCTTCAGCGTCGAACGATGGCATTCTGTGTGTCCCTTTAGGCCTTCCTCGAGGTCTTCTGTTAGTGGGTAGAGAAAAATGCAGCTGCTTTGTGGTTAGCAGTGGCATTCGCAATACAAACCAAACTCTGCACAACGACGATTTCTAAACCGTGATCATGATAAGTAACGGCTCGATTTCACATCACCGAGGTAAGAACTCTACCGAGGGATAAAGTCCTTCGAATTATTTCATGCAACTCACTTTGCTGCTAATATAAACGATCGATTTCATGCTGACGCTACTCATGATTCGTGTTTAAATGGAAGCATAGAGAGAAAAACAGACTTGAATTAGCTTCCTCTTCAGGTTATGTCCTGCCTGATCAGGACAGTTCATGAATGAATGTAAATTACTAGCTATCCATTAATATCCTCTGGTTCATCGTTTCGTAAAAATTATGTCGAGGTGCTTGAATACTCCAAGCACTGTAATGACGTTCCCTAATCAGTGAAACATCTCCTAGGAAAGCAGTAGCGACATAATTTTTAGTATGAGTAATTTGAATTTCAACAACATTGCATCCAATTGCAAACCTTTCCACTGAACTCTGAAGACAAGCATCAGAATATGCCCGTTAGACAGTGCCGTCTTTATACAGTAAGCATTTCGTTTCAACGTCTACAATTTACACACGCGTTTCCTTGGCTGTTCCTGGTGACCTTTTTGAAGGTACAAGATGAATAAGGGCGGAAAATACTTGATGCAGTCAACTGAAACAGCAATCACGATTCAAATCGATTTACTGTCAGTAGCTTTGGCACAGTTCTTGCTCTCTATATAGAGCGATTTATTAGCACTAGTAGTGTAATCCTGCAGACAATCCAACAGTATGCTGAGGAGAAGACCTCATGAACATTCACCAGGTTAAAAAAGTATATGAAAAGTGCTCGTTAATTAGGGCGCATTTTGATAGTTTACAACTCTTTTGCATCAGATTCAGCTGCGTATAACATTTGAATCAAAAATTGAATTGTTTTATCTAATCGGCAACATTTTGATATTAATGATTGCATTCCAAGAGATGAGTTTTGTATTTTTACTTAAATGATGATAACCAATATACAAGGAAACCAATTTAAATGATGGCCGATTTTGACTAACTGTGTTCATCGACATGATTTCTAAAATGTCACTGACATTCAAAACTAATGTGCTAAATGAGCAAAGTATTAGTCAAGGAAATGAACGATGCAAAATTCAGTGATGTACTTTAGTCGGAAACACTGCAGAAGCACTCGCCACGCATAAGACACTAGGAGCGAGGAAGCAGTGCAATTACATCATGTATTCAGCAGGCCTTTGGAATAATTCCAAATTTATCGCTTTCAGCCCATTCAGACACATCATGATACCAATGTCTGGAGAGTGTTCTAGAAACCTTGGGGATGATTATGTGTGTTACTTACCTCCAAGTTAGAAATACCCGTCAAATTGTCGACTTTATGGCGTTTATCAGTTTTGCACAAGAATGCGATGGAACGTCGATTTTGAGAGAATGACTGAACATATTAATAGGAAGCAAATTCTTCATTATCGTACACTACAAAAATAGAAGGCTATTATTTTAAATCGAACAGATAACCCCTCGCTAAACAAACGAAACAACTGTCGAGTTTAAAATTTTAAGCCATTTTCAAAAAATATATTTATTGAAATTCTTGGAAAACATTTTTTGACACTAGAAAACGCTTGCTGGCCGCTCTGTGAAGGCATTACTAGTTTTATGTAATCTCATCCATCGATAAGCTGCTTGGACTTGAAACTTCAATTATTCAAAACCGTTTTATTGCCTTAGTTTTAAGCTTACTGCTGAAATCGAAATCGATCTGAATTCGTCACTCAGCAATGATTGCAAGTCCTATTTTTCTGATTGCCAGTTTTCCAGTTGTAACCCGTTTGATTCAGAAGAAATCCGGAAGTCTCGCCATCGAAGGGTTGCTGCATGTCCGTCAGCGCTATTTATCGCTGTTAGAAGGTATGATCAACGGTCAGCAAATCAGTGTCATTCTGTAGCGTTGCACTTCCACCTCATCGTTCGTGTACAGGAATGATCGATATGTTTACAGCAACTTTTCAACACATTGACAGGAAAGAGAGCTATTTAAATGGCTGTCCATCATTCACGTATTTGGTCATGTACTTCTGATTAGACCTACTGCATAATAACAAGAGAATGGGTCCAACTACTTTACAGAAATCAATTTAAGACAAGTAGTCACAATCCCAATCCTATATAAATTTCAATGCATTTGCAACTGCGTCGCTTAAACCTGCTGAAATAGTGACGACACAAACGCTGCTACTACAAGCAATTCCGGTTGCTTTATGCCACATATTAAGCAACTTGCGCAGCCACGCTCTTTGATCAAATGATAAAGCGTTTCGGTGTCGTTCGATCGATTCATCTGTTTATCGCTGATTTCATAATTCAATATCCTTCTATCCGATTTGCTTTTATTAATGGCTGCGCCACAGTCATAAGTCATGTTTCACCCCTCTTCTCAGCGTTGTGCCCGTTGCTTCCGCCGTTAACGAAAACAGCTTCATCACTGAATCGCCCCAGAGAA